CAAGCTCAGTGTGCTCTGATTGGCCAGCTGACCCAGTGCATTGTGATTGGCCGAACACCGCAAGCACTCATCGTAAAAATGTAACGCCCCTTACCATAATCGCGAGCTTCATTACATTTACATTTAGTCATTTAGTTCATCTTTCGAAATAAATGTGAAGACAGAGCCCGAAAGGGGAACAGAGTTGCGTGACAGACACAGTGGCATTATGCTAATATTTCCACATTGTGAGGTAGGTATGTGGGGGGTGTTTTAGAACGAGCCGTTTTAGGGGGGCGTGGCAGAGTCTTAACTTTGATGAAGAATATCTCTTTGGTTTTGAGACTTTAGTCTTTGCTGTGGCGAGCAGCTGTAGTGTTATGGATGAGCGTTGCACCTGGCACAGTAAAATGTGATGCTAATGGGTTTATAATAGTTGGACAGTGACGCTGTATCTGGGTCTTTCAGATGGAGTGCCAACCTGGAGACCCCCAGCCAACGTCCTGTATAATTCCTGGCAGCCAAGTTCATCAGATATTGAGATGTCGGCCTACGTACTGCTCGCCATGCACAGACTCAAACTAATGGATGAAGGATTCACTCTGGTGAAGTGGCTCAGTAAGCAAAGAAACCATCTTGGGGGATATGGATCCACTCAGGTACATATCAAACTGACATTCAACTCATGAGAGAGGCAATAAAAAATGGTTTAAATGGGGCAAAATGGCTCACTTTTAGACATTCAGGCTCCCAAAACGAATGTCAACATTTTAAAAAGGCTAAATTGCCTACAACAGCATTCTAATACTCTGGCTGAATAGTTGTTTTTATCATGGTTTCAGCAAAAATATTAAGTAGCACAACTGTTTTCAATATTGATAATTATCAGAAAAATGTATTGAGCAGCAAATCAGCATATTAGAATGATTTCTGAAGGATCATGTGACACTGAAGATGCTGAAAATTCAGCTTTAACTCACAGGAATGAATTACATCTTAAAATATATTCAAATAGAAAAGCAATTATTATAAATTATCATATTTTTACTGTATATTTGATCAAATAAATGCAGCTTTGGTGAGCATATTAGAGATTGTATAAGGGAATATTCCAGTTTTAACAGAAGTTAGTCTATAGCATCTGTAGCATAATGTTGATTATCACAAAAATCATTTTGACTCATTCCACATTTCCTTTTTGTTTTGTTTAAAAAAAAAAGAGCAAAAACAGTCAGTCACTTACAATGGAAGTAAATGGGGCCATTTTTACAGGAGCGCTTCACATTTCTGCAAATGTTAATAGTTGTTTTAAGGTTGTCATTACAAAGAAGTTGTAATATTGGTTGTTATAACATTCCACAAAAAGTCTAGTAAGTGACTTTTTACACTCTAAAATCATGTTAACGCATATGCGACCCTGGACCACAAAACCAGTCATAAGGGTCAATTTTTCGAAATTGAGATTTACACATCATCTAAAAGATGAATAAATAAGCTTTCCATTCCATTGTTGGGATAGGACAATATTTGGCCGAGATACAACTATTTGAAAATCTGGAATCTGAGGGTGCAAAAATTCAAAATATTGAGAAAATCGCCTTTAAAGTTGTCCAAATAAAGTTCTTAGCAATGCATATTACTAATCAAAAATTACGTTTTAATATATTTACAGTAGGACATTTACAAAAGATCTTTACTTAATATCCTAATGATTTTTGGCATAAAAGAAAAATCTATAATTTTGACCCATACAATGTATTTTTGGCTATTGCTACAAATATACCCCAGCGACTTAAGACTGGTTTTGCTCTCCAGGGTCACATATTGTTTAAATCTTGTGGTTTTACTATTAATACAGTATTGTAACATATACGGATTGACCCCATTTATTTCCCATTATAAGTGCTTTTTAAAAATTGTTTTAGTAGAACAAGTAAAAAAAAAACGTGGTGATCAAAATTACACAACCTGGGAATATTCCTTTAAGAAAGTCAGCAGGGTTTAACATCTTCTGAGGCACTGACTGGTTTCCTTGTGTTGATGATCATTACATCTATGATCTATTCCATTGATTCAAGGAGGGGAATTTGTTGGGACGCGAATGTTTCAATTGGAAATCAAGCTGTGCAAAAGGCCATCGAGGTGAGATAAGAAAATGTACTTTTAATTTTAAAAAGGCCCTCGTGATATTACATTTGGCTCGGGACCGAAGGCCTGCGATCTGTCACGAAAACTAACCTCATTGAGGACTAGCAGTTTCTGGGCCGTGAGCTCTGATAAAGCGCTGCGCTCATGTTAAAGCCCCTCACTTTGACACAACAACTCGAATCCAACAGGAGAACATCTGACTGTGCTCAAGAGAGTCCTTGCGGTATTTGGTAGAGTGTGGAAAGATTAAAGGATCTGTGTCTCTGCTCCACACATGTGCGGTGTTAATTACCAGGAGGCAGGTGATTGAATTGAGAGTGTATCTATGACACAGATGCACGGGCACCTGTTACTGATGCAGAGAGATGATCACATCTGCCAAAACTGATACAAAAACTCCTTATCCCATTTTTTATTATTAAATGCACTTTTTGTTGTTTTGATCAGTTCTAAAGCTTTATTAAAATATCTGTGCTCTGTTTGTATGTCTTCGTTGTCAGGATACAGTGATGGCGTTGCATGCATTGTCAATCTACGCCACCTTCAGCAGCGCAGAGTCCATAGATCTCACCATCACTGTGAACGGTGCCTCCGGTGCTGCCGCCACATTCAATGTAGACAGATACAATTATCTGCTCCAGCAGAGCCAAGACCTGCCCGTATGTATATAATACACTGCTCTAGATACACACTACTGTTCAACAGATTGAGGTCAGTAAGATTCCCATTTCAAATAAATGCAGTTCTTTTGATCTTTCTATTCAGAATCCTAAAAAAATGCATTGTTTTCAAAAAAAAAAAAAACTATATATTAAGTGGCACAACTGTTTTCAACACTGATAAAATAGATATTTCTTGAGCAGCAGATCAGCATGTTAGAATGATTTCTGAAGATCACGTGACACTGAAGACTGGAGTAATGATGCTGAAAATTCAGCTTTGCATCACAGGAACAAATTTGATTTTTAAATATATTCAAACAGAAAATTGTTATTTTAAATTGTAATAATATTTCACAATTTTACTATTTTTTAAACTGTAATTTGAATCAAATAAATGCAGCCTTGGTGAGACTTTCAAAAACATAAAAAAAATCTTACTGACCCCAAACGTTTAAACGGTGATGAATAAAGGAATATTTTGTATTCAACAGAAAGAAGTTAAGAGGAATCTAGCATTTGAAGCATAATGTTGATTAACACAAAAAAATTATATAGAGCGCGAGAGCGAGAGGAAAGTGAAGCTTATAATTCTATAAAAGCACTTACATTAATTCTTATGTGAAAACATGAGTATTATTTGAGCTGTAAAGCTTTTTAAATTATAATTTTACAGTCATTTTAGGAGTGTAATGACAACAAAGTTATAAAATTGCATACAACTTAACACAATAAAGGCTAGCACTTTTTGTAACTGAAAATTCAGCTTTGACATGACGGGAATAAATTACATTTTAAAATATATTTAAATTATCTTCTTTTTTTTTTTAATTGCAATGTTATTTCACACTTTTCTTGTTTTTACTGTATTTTTGATCAAATAAATGCAGCCTTGGTGTACATTAGAGACTTCTTTTAAAAGAATGAATAAATCTTACTGACCCCAAACTTTTGAGCAGTACTGTGTAACTCCTAACACAAAGTATTCTTTTCAAAGTAATCACTGCACATAACAAGCAGACTGTTTGTGACACTCTAGTAATAGTAGTACGTGGCGCATGCTAATGTTGGGTTTGCCTCTACAGATCGAAGCAGAAGAGGGGGTTGATATTGAGGTGGTGGCAGAAGGTAAAGGCTTTGCTCTGTTTCAGGTATGTCTAAACATCTCCAAGTCAAGAATTTGTCCTTAAATGCATTGTTTATCACTGCTGCAAAAAAATATTGAAGGTAAAAAAAAGGCTGCTATTTGCTTGTTGAATGACTAGTTGGCATAGCAGCATAATTTAGCAGAATCATCTCCATTGCAAAACTGTCAAATAGCGAGGTATTACCACTGAAAGCAGGTTATGAAGGTTCAACAGCTGCGAATAATAACTGAAACCCTCGTAAAGATAAAAAGAGACGTAATGGCAGAAATATTCTGTTGTCATCAGCAGTCGGATCCCCTCTTTCTCAGTCCAATGTGTAATTATACCTTTGATTGCTCACCATGGAGCACGTAAACCGGCCCAGACGCTGTTTTCCTCATCAGTGAGACACCAGCAACATCTTGAGCTGCTTTGAAAGGCCACACCGACGAAATAGCGTCCAGAACTCTGTTCTGCAGAAGATTGGCAAAGCAGAGATGACCTCATTTTGAGTCGTGTTTGCTAATTTGTTCTTCAGACACGAATGATTCCTCAATCATCTGGCTTGTACTGTTGCTTTATAAAATCTCATAAAATGGGGGAATTATTAGAGTATTATTCATTTTCTCTTACTGTTTCAGCTTAATGTGTTCTACAACGTGATGAACCTAAGAACGTCGCTCAGACGGCGTGACATACACACAGATGAGGCCTTTTATTTGTATATAGACGTAATGGACAATGAGGAGTTCAGTGTAAACCTTCACATATGTTTCAGGTGAGCGGCTGAACCGAACACACACCGTTGTTTACTTATTGCCAAAATGATTTCATCAGCACCAAAAAATGCGATTAAAAAGACTGCACTTTTGAGGTCCTGATTATTTAACATGATTATTTAACTCATTGACTACATCATGCATTTATATGCAACTTATTTTATTTTTTAAAGACTTATTTAAAAAGTCTTTAACTCAACTCAACTTAAAAAAAATAAAATAATTATATATATATAAAATCAAATTTGGCCAGGGCTCCCTGGAAGAAAAGATTTTGCATCTCAATGGGACTTTCCTGGTGAAATAAAGGATAAAATATATACACACACACACACACACACACACACACACACACATGATTATTTAACTCATTGACTACATCATGCATTTATATGCAACTTATTTTATTTTTTAAAGACTTATTTAAAAAGTCTTTAACTCAACTCAACTTAAAAAAAATAAAATAATTATATATATATAAAATCAAATTTGGCCAGGGCTCCCTGGAAGAAAAGATTTTGCATCTCAATGGGACTTTCCTGGTGAAATAAAGGATAAAATATATACACACACACACACACACACACACACACACACACATTTAAATAAATAATGTTAATATAAAATAAATATATAATAATATAATATAAATTAGATGAATATAAAATAAATTTGATCAACAATATTTGATTCGTATCTTATTTTCAAAGCCAAAATTGTAATTGAAAATCATTTAAAATGTAAAAATATATTTGAATTATATAACAAAATAAAAAAATGGCTTTATTTTAAATCAAATATAGCAAGTGCACATTTAAAACAAAATCACAAAAGCTCAATTATTGTTAGTTTGCAGATTCCACTTGGTTTGATGTTTTGTTTCTTTCTTTTCTTCTCATTATGGATGTCAAAAAAGTAAAATCAGTGTTGATTATCAAGAAAACAGTTTCTAAAATTATACTTAAACAAATAATAAGATATTCTATATCATCAATATTGCATTCGATTTGGGATATCTCGGGCAATTTCAACCATTTTTAATTGTCCAAATTCTTTTTGGGGCCACTGTAGATATTCTATGGAATCATTTGTGAGTGTAAATCTGTTTGAAAGCATAATTTCTGCTGTTTTTAAGGCTGAGAGAGGACCAGGGTCTGAGACAGACGGGTATGGCCATACTGGACGTGGGTTTACTCTCGGGGTTCAGTTTGGCTCAAAACGGTGTCCAGCTAAATGATATAGTCAGACGAGTAGAGACACCTTCAGGACGAATTACACTTTATTTAGACACGGTGAGTTGCTCTTATATGTTCATGACTACAATATTACAGGATAAGTGTGCTGAATCTATTTTTGTGCTGATGATGGTTTATTTGGTTCATGTTTTCGTGTTCATTATGCATCCATTGCTGACAGTTTGTCCAATCTCATCGTCTTTTCTCTCCTCACAGGTGACCACAATGGAAAGGTGCGTTGAAATATCCACCACCCTGGAATTTAAGGTGGTCAATGTCCAAGATGCTGTGGTCATGATCTACGATTACTATGAGCCCAGTAAGACTCTTAAATAATAGCTCCAGATTCTCTAATGCATTCCTATGTTGCAGTATGTGTTTCAAGCTCCTTGTTTCATTCCCTTACCTTCTGCAGGACGGAGGACAGTGCGGTCCTACACATCTGAGACAAGACGGGACATGTCTGTGTGTTCGCTATGTGGGCCGGATTGCTCCGAGTGTGGGGTTCGAGACATCTGGCCGACTGACGGGACGCCGTCCATTAATAAACATCCACTTCTGGCTCTAAGTCTGACCACAGCACTCATCCTGTCAATCTGCAACTAGTGTTTTCCCTCAATCAAAACTATTGTAATCAATAACACAAGCAAAATGTATGTGTACATTGTTTTTAAAAAATTGTTTCTGAAAATGTGAAAAAATTCTTTGTAAATTTTATATATGAAAATTGGTGCATTTAGTTCAGTGCAACAATGAATGATTTTTACAAACAGTTTAGACAGAATTTTGTTTCTTTAAATGATGTTTCATGAATTAATAATTCATTAATTAAAAATAAATTATTAAATCAAATTAATAATTTAAATATCAATTAATATTATAATTATTGTAATTCATTAATTACTTATTGATTGAATAAAGGATGTTTTTTTTTTTTAAAGATTTTTCCAATGCACTGTTGTTTTTTTTTAGGCTTTTTTTAAGAATAATTGAAATAGTTAAACAGGGTCAGGCTCAAAACTGCTAAATTAACGTTTTAAATGTAAGCACTGTGATTCTTGCGCTCCCTGTCATCATTATAATAATCCGCTGCATAAAGCTGTGTTACGTACCTCAATTACAAATTTTCCAGTAGTGAACATGTTTGTCTTTTTTGATCTTGTAAGTTGCAATGGCTTTAATAAATTTCAACACTGTTTAAAAACAGTAAGTATCAGTTGTATACAAAGTGACCTACATTGAATTTTGAACCACATTGACCATTGAAAATGGGTCAAATTCAACAAGGAAAGTCTAAGAACCAGAATCTAAAAGAATATCTTTAATATGTCTACAGTTACAGACATGCAAACTTTGGAAAAATAATATTTTTGGCACTCAAGACAAGTATGTTCTTATGTGAGTGTTTTGATAGAGGGGAACAAGATAGATTTCTAGTTTCAACATTATTTGTTCTTCAGACATTCCTCTTTAAAAGAAAAAAGTATAAGCTATACGCAAAGGGACCCACATTTGGTTCTTGACTGCTGAAAATGTGTGAAAGGGATCTAAATCTCTGGAGAAATTTCCATATACAAAATAGTGGATTAGTAAATCAGTTTATGTTTGTTTTTCTGTAGAAAAATATCAAAACAAACAAAAAAAATTAGCTGCAGAGGCATTTGACACTGAATGACCCAACTGCAGTCACTCCACTGACCTGAATACAGCTACATTGCAAATGTTTAAGTGTGAAGCCATGCATTTTTCATGCATGATTACACTATGATATAATAAACACACTGATTGCTGATTGCTTTTTGTGTTTTCAGTTAGCTTGTGGTTAGCCTGCTAGCATTGTTATTGTATGACCTAACAAAGCCATCAATACAACACTGTAGACTTAATGTATACACATTACAAAATCAATTTACACCAGATATGACATCATATCTTTGCTAAAATCCCAGCGAGTAAGGTAATGTGCTGGTTTTAACTGGTTTAAGCTGGCCTTTCAGCATGACCATCAGACAAGACCCTTATAAAACCAGCAAAACAGAGCAGCTTGATAAAGTTGGGAGACACGACTTGCATGTATAAGCTGTTTTCTCCCAGCGGGGATAGAATTACCACAATATTTATTCATAGGAATGACAATTTATCTGACTGATTCTGGGCTATAAAACAGCTCCTGTGAAATAAATAGCAGACGCAACGAAGTCGATCAATTAACCAGCAGGAAACGTTTACTGCAAACTTTGACGTTTCATCCAGCTTGTTTTTGTTCAGTGACGAACGGCTTTGGCCCAAGTCTTAGTCGAGTTGAAAATGAGACAAATGTGCCCCATTTTCAGAGCCAATCAAACTCAAAACCACAGACTTAGAAGATCTTAAGGACGAGAGCAGAAGCGATTGTAGTCGCCCTGTTTACGACAAAGTATGGTAATGTGCACAAGATGTGTTTGTGTTCATTAGCAGAGATCCATGCGTCCTTTTACTGAGGTCGAATCTCTTGCATGTTCACGTGATTGAGCCACATGAAAGGCTTTCTCTGCCACCTCATTAGTGCGGCCCACATGGAGCGCTTTATCTAACAGGAAACACATCATAACACGGCTCCATCCTGACCCACAGGCCTGCCTTTCCTTTTGGTCCAAATCCTCCAGCTTCATGTTGGCAGTGTGGTTTACGCATCTTTGTAAACAATGGATTTCTGATCCAATGTACTGTAAACACATAAGAGGAACTCTGTGTCTTGTTCGGCTGTTTAAGCCCCATCTGTCCAGCTAGGGATTTTTTATATATATATTTTTTAAATGTGCACGTCAGAATTGCTATCAGGTGGTTTTATAGCAGGCACAGGATGTTAATATAACGTCAAGTTGACGTTGGACATGATGTCGGACAGACGTTGCATTTTGGTTGATAATGAAAATCAGGTTGACGTCAGTATTTGACGCCAATTTGATGTTGACCTAACGTTGGACTTTGGTTACAGATAACCTAAACACAACAAATATCAACCTCAGCTTACGTCAGTATTGGGCATCAAATTAAAATTGACATTAGATGTTGAATTGACATTGAATTTTGGTCACCCGACATCACGACCAAAATGTAACCAAATATAGATAAATGTCTTATGACCAGTGTTGGGGGTAACACATTACAAGTAACGCGAGTTACGTAATCAGATTACTTTTTTCAAGTAACTAGTAAAGTAACGCATTACTTTTTAATTTACAAGAGAATATCCAAGTTACTTTTCCAAATAAGTAACGCAAGTCTCACTCACAAAAAAAAACACAGATTCAGTATTCCTCAAAATGAATACAAAATAATGCAACTCAGAATATGATGCAAACCTGCAATAATTAAATGTTAAACAACACAAATATCCTTTATGTATTTAATCCCATTCTATTAACCAATGTCTTTGCTTCTGAGCTTCGATGATCCAGTTCAACCATACTAATAAGCAAACATGACTCTAGACAAACATTTGTGTGTCTTTTTTTATTGCTGAAGTGTGTTGAAATGTCTTCTTCTGTATTCTACTGTACAGACGTTAATTTACTTTCCCTTCAGCCCGAGGCTTATTCATTTCACTTTTGCTGTGAAAAGCTTTTATATCTGCCAAAATATAACTTTTTTATTTTAAAAACAAACAAGCAAGCCCTGTCCAGATTTAAAAAGTAACGCAAAAGTAACATAACGCATTACTTTCCATAAAAAGTAACTAAGTAACGGAATTAGTTACTTTTTTATGGAGTAACGCAATATTGTTATGCATTACTTTTAAAAGTAACTTTCCCCAACACTGCTTATGACGTTGTGTGCCTGCTGGGCATTATGTGTGAGCATTTATCTACTGACAAATAGACACTGTAATACAGTAATGAAACTTTTTTGTAGTTATTAAATAAATAATTGCATGAGCTAAAACAGATGCTATTAAAATAACTTTAAATGATATATCACATTTTTTAATTCTTTTTTTATATTGCAGTAATGGCATCAAAAAAAAATAATGGTCCTAAAATAGGGTTCATTTAGGAGTACATGTTTTTGTTTGAAAATTGTTTCATTAAAAAAAGTGAAGTGCACAATTTGTACCAAAATGGAACTGCAAAAATAAGGCAACATTGTTTCCCTAAACATGCATATTAAGATTTTTTAATGTTCACAAAATAAATGTAAAGAATAAATAAATAAAAAAATACACAAATTCACTTCAGTAAAAAAAGATGCTATTTAAATATTTAATTAATTAGTTATTTTACTTGTGAAACAAAATCTAAACTTGACCTTTTTTGTAAACTCATTATTCTAATACAGTAATGAAAATCTTTTGTGATTTGTTAAATAAATGAACTCATTAAAACGTGATATTTAAACAAATATGCTATAATTTTTCATTTTCTGCTGTACGTGACTTACACACCTTAGGATAGTCGGTACTGAATGGTTTGGGAATGCGTGTGTCCTTTTGGTTACATCAGTTACTGTCATAATGTCATTTTCTGGAGCTACAGAGTGATTAGTCACATGACATTTACAATTTAGCTGATTGGCTCAAATAAATGTCAGTGGTAAATGAGTAAAGATGTCCGATTAAGTACTCCCAGTTCTAGCCAAGTAAGTGCCATTAAGATGAATGGGAACGCTAACTGAGAGCTCTCTAGGTATCATCAGTGTTGGGGAAAGTTACTTTTAAAAGTAATGCATTACAATATTGTGTTACTCCATAAAAAAGTAACTAATTACGTTACTTAGTTACTTTTTATGGAAAGTAATGCGTTACGTTACTTTTGCATTACTTTTTAAATCTGGACTGGGCTTGCTCGTTTGATTTTAAAATAAAAAAGTTATATTTTTGGCAAATATAAAAGTCTTTTCACACCAAAAGTGAAATGAATAAGCCTCAGGCTGAAGGGAAAGTAAATTTACATCCGTACAGTAGAATACAGAAGAAGAAATTTCAACACACTTCAGCAGTAAGAAAAGACACACAAATGTTTGTCTAGAGTCATGTTTGCTTATTAGTACGCTTGAACTGGATCATCGAAGGTCAGAAGCAAAGACATTGGTTAATAGAATGGGATTAAATACATAAAGGATATTTGTGTTGTTTAACATTTAAGTATTGCAGGTTTGCGTCATGTTCTGAGTTGTATTATTTGTATTAATTTTGAGGAATACTGAATTTGTGTTTTTTTTGTGTGAGTGAGATGAATTAATGCATATTCATATTTATTTTGAACTACAGTAACATCTTCTGATTTCTCTCAACATGGGGACAGGAGAGCTGTCAGTCAATAAATTAAAAAAAAAGTAACTTGCGTTACTTATTTGAAAAAGTAACTCAGATATTCTCTTGTAAATTAAAAAGTAATGCGTTACTTTACTAGGTACTTGAAAAAAGTAGTCTGATTACATAACTCGCGTTACTTGTAATATATTACCCCCAACACTGGGTATCATAGACTTCGTTGGTTCACATTAATTCACAAATTGTTGATCAACCAATATCAATTCATCATATATTTAATTCAGGGAATATATCTCAGGGTCAAGATCAATGTTGTCAGCCGTGTTCCTCCTGAGATGATAAATGTCAACGAAAA